TGAATGCAGTAGTTTTCAATAGAACTGGAATTGATTCCCGTTTCTATTACTTAATTTTTATTTCTTTTTTGCAGTAGTGGTTGTGTCTTTCTTCCATATTTTTATTATTTTGTTTTGGCCGGTTGTGCATTATTCTTAAACTGTAAATATATACATTTAACATTAATAAAGGAGAATATATTCCAAACCGTTTTAATAATTAGATGGATTATTTGATATTTCTCTCTTCCTCTTTCTCTCTCTCTCACACACACATGTATCTATATATCTTATGTAAGCGCTCATCACACAGACAAGTATCTCTGGGTGGCATAAAACAATTATATTACCAAAACAGTATACTGAACTCTTTAGTGCATTTTAGGTACAAATGCTAAGCATGTTTGTTATAGTTTCTTAATGTATATATGGATTTATCTTCTGTCTCCAAGATGTGGGTGGCCCTACTGAAGAAGAATTGCTTAAACTTCTGGATCAGTGTGATCTAAGCACATCTCGCTGTGCAACCCCCAATATCAGCCCAGCTACTTCAGTAGTCCAGCAAAGCCGACTGCGTGAATCAGGCTCTAGGTAAACTTTTCAAATTATGTTTGCATATATGTGGATGGAAAGATTTAAACCAGATGTTTCTTTATATACGACTTCATGTTATCACGCTGTTTACTTAAAAGTTAATACTCTAATATTTTGCGAACTATGCAGAATAGATACCGTATAAAAAGTTCCCAGTGTGTTTCTGTCTGAATTATGTAAGATGCTTATCCATCTAGCAGTGATCCCAAGCAGTAATGAATAATTTATGATTTTTGCATGATGAAAGAAATAATCCAAATTTCTATTAGTAAATTTTGTTCAATTTGACATGCTCAATTTATTAATCTGATTACTTAAAAAGCTTCAAATGTTTTCAGCCTCCAGTTACAGCACCGGGAGACAATCCACGAAACCGCTACATATGGCTCCATACGGCCATATAGAGAGAGCCCCTTACTAGCCAGAGCCCGCCGGACCGAAAGTTTTCACAGCTACAGAGAAATTCAGCCTTTTAATTTAAATAAAAACATGGTAGACAAAGCTGTTCCTCAGAATGGCAACTGGAGTCCTGTACAGGCAGAAGGGAAAAGAATTGGTGAAAACATAACTGACAAAAAAGCTTCAGCCTTAGCACTTGAAATAAGAATGGCCAGAGTGTCAGATGGAGGAACTGAACTTCAGAAAGTGTCTGAAAGCATATTAGAATTGAAAAAAAGAGGAAATGATGAAGATAATGAAACCAAAGCAGACTGCAAAAGGAAGAGTGGATTTGAAGGAGGTGGTTTCCTTGGAAGAAAGAAAGGACCGCATCTTGTGGTGTCTTCACCAAACATTGGGGAAGGAAGTTCTGAAGTACTTGGTACAGCTTCCCCATCTCCTACAAAGACAACAGTTTCTCCACGGCATAAGAAAAGTGACTCATCTTGCCAGGATTATACCTTGTGAAAATGAAAAACATCTAAATCCCACGTATATATCGAACGTTTCTCACTAAACTGGACGAATTTCACATTTATGTATCTAAATTTCTATCTTTCTAATTGAAGATAAGTTTGAGGTAGAATCAGGCAGGATAAGAAAACACGTTCTAGACAAACCAGCCTTCCAATCCTGATGTTTAACTAGATAAGTTGGACTTGAACTTCCATAATTCTGTTGAGCAGGCTGGCTCAATTATGGGGAATTATGGGAGTTGAATCTAATTTCTCTGGAGGATCACCAGATTGAAAATGCTGCTAAAAAACTTGGCTTCACAGCACAATCAATGGAAGCATTTTTGAACTACTCAAAATTGGTGTTAACTTTCTATAACTGTCTATGTGAAGTCCAATTCTGGTACAGATGTTTTCAAGCTTTGTTTAATACAGGCTGGCATGCACTACCATTTTTGTTGTAGAGTAACTCTTTCCTAATCTTGGTTACAAACATGCTAAGTATTTAAAGTTTGTAGTCTATAGAGCAACTCATTCTTTCAGTGTGGTTTCCATGTTGAAAATAATAATGGGAAGAGTTAGGGTGCTTTATTTTATGTCTGCTTTTTCTGCTGTGCCACCAGTTTTTATTAGTATTAATAAACTTTGTATATTATCTCATGCTTCAATGTGTTGACTTAACCAAATTGAAATTCTAAATGTCTTGTTACAGATATTATAAAACATGACTTTGCAGATATTTATCTAATATTAAAGTATAAAGAATGTAGTCATGCTGTACATTCCTTTTAATTACAATAGCAACAGTGGATTAATTCTAGAAAGTTTCTAGAGAACTTCACTTATTATAGCACTGTATAGAATTAAGCAATCTGTTTAGGACTGCACAGTTGAAAAAAGCTGGAATTTGTAGATGTAAATAAGTTTTCCAATATTTCTAAGAGCAATACCTGTGCATGAAAATGTCTTTTATTCCTTTGGCAAAGGCACAAACAGTCTTAGAGCACTTGAGATTTGTTCTTGCTTTTTCTTTGCCCTTTGGTCCAGTCAAATTACATTATCATACAGATCTCTGTTTTCCTAGAGACTCTTAGTGATACGTAGCCTTGAATGTCCTCAGTTGCACATGCTATAAGAAAACCAGGATTCTACTGAGTCTTGCACAAATACAGTATAGGCCTCTTTGGTGATGTTTTATTGTATGCTTTCACCAATCATAGGCACATTTTTAATTATTCTCTTTCTTGCAATATGAAAAAGAGAGCAAGAATTGAGAGATTATGTCCCAAAGCCAGTTTTATACTTAATCCTTCAATATTCTCTGTTGACTACTTAGACATAGATTTTGTATGAATCGAACACCACTAACGTAGAATAAAATATACAAAACTATATGCCTACCCTGTTATAAGATATACATGTGATAATAGATAACTGCAAAGGCTATTCAGTTACACGTGAGTCCTCTCTTCCCCAAAATAAACCCTCAACATCAAGGGTCCCCAACTCTCGGTCCATGGACCGGCACCGGCCTGTGGCATAGCAGCAACCGGGCCATGCAAACAAGTGAAGCACCATCCACTGGATGCAGACAGCATATGAAACCACGCCCCCTCTGGTCTGCAGAAAAATCTTTCTCCACAGAAGCTCTCCCTGGTGCCCAAAAGGTTGGGTGCCTCTGCTCTACATGTACAAGCATGGCAACTTTTAGGATGTTTTTTTATCATCTTCCATAGAAAGTACGATGGATGCACAGTGAGATTTGCAGCTCCCACTCTCTCCAAATGACTTCACAATTAAGAATAAAAACCCAACACTTTAATGTGAATTACACAATGAATAATGATTTAAAATTTTCAGACATTTTAAATTCTACTCTGTGTGACTGCTGTGGTTTTTCTTAAAATGAACATTTGTCACTTGAATTTTATATGTTCTGCCATACTGTTTGCCATCTTGCTTGATTACACTTGACTTATATCAAAACAGGTTTCATAAATAAGTTTGAAAATAGTTAAATAGTTTGTTTGACAACTTGAAAGGGACATCAGGACTGATTCACCTTGTTTAGTCAAAGGTAAGTGACTTTATGCTTCAGATACTTTATATTTTCCTAAAGGTGCTAAAGCTATTTAAAGTAATTTAAAATTCCTAAAGTTATTTTCTTATGCAACAGAAACACTAAGGCTACTGTGCACTAATGTTTATTCACAGCCATGTGCTAACAACATTTGGCTATCTATTGTAAGAACAAATAATACAAGAGATCAATACAAAGGAGACACAAGGAAACAAATTAAAATCATTTTTTCAATTTGAGACAATATCGTGCAGCTTGACAATATATTACATTTCTGATTGCGAAGGATCAGTTTTCATATGAACTATTAAAAATAATAATGATGCATACAATTGAAATTCTGTATTAACAGCCTGATAGGTATATATTATGCTGTATAGGTTTGTCTCTGGTGCCCTTAGAACAGAAAAATCCAGTTATATTCTGGGTATTTGCAGAAATCTTATTCCTCACAACTCTGGTTTTTATAGTTCAGAGTGCTGTTAATTCAGATTTGTCAGCCTTTTTTCTATTAGGGCACTAAAGCTTTACAGTGGCTTTGTCTTCAGAAGTACATATTTGCCACCACAATGGTCTGCTTCTGAACTTCCCAGGCTTGAAATGTTAATATCTTTGCCACAGAAGCAGAACTACATAGGTGCCATGGCTATAGTAGTTAATATTGGATTAATATAGAAATTGTATGATTTTTATTACCATGTGATAGTATTTGACATTGGATCATGTGAGTATCAGAATTAGCAGAACAATAAAAAGTATCAGCTACAGCCAGTAAAAAAAAATATACATTCAGTTAAACTAATTACTGGCACGAAGTATTTTCCCACACAAGCATATTTTAATATGTAAGCATGGAAAAGTCAAGATAGAATAGCTGTACATTTACCTTTTGGTTACTTTTTCCCTATCACTAATAAATTATCTGAAAGATTTCACTGTATGCTGAAGGAACTAATTGAAGCATAGTATAATAAAGTATAAGTGGGATAATTAAGCATTTCTTCTATGTACTCCTAAGTTCTTTTAACAAGATTTTTGATGATCTTCTGATCAGTTAAAGGTTTTCAATGATTAATTTTTGAGTAGAATTCAATATTCTTCCTTAATTTCTTGCCTATGCTAAATTTGTGTGTATGACTTTACTTTTTCACCATTTCATCCAGTCAGTTTCTGCAATGAGCTGAATAAAAGTTTGTGTAGCAATATTTATTTGCCAAAAGATGTGTTTAAAAAAATTATAAAATGTACCTCTCAAATAAATAAATTTGCTATAGACAATATATTACCAGGAAAGAAGCTTCTAAGTTTTGATAAAAATAGCTTTCACATACCTAATAGTACAAGATGTAATTCATAAACACTAGAAAAATTTCAGTAGAATTACATCATAATAACTAGAAAGAGCAAATATTCAAGGCTTTCCATATTATTTTGCCTATTATATGGCAACAGTACTAAATAACTTACAAGTGTGTATCAGTAAATGTTGTATGTGCTTTGGTAACAGTACTGAAGCTTTTGATAGTGCTCACAAGATCTTCATCATCCGCACGCTAAAATAAAGTGATTTTAAGAAGATAAGAGTTACAAAATAGTCTCATTCATACTCTTTTTAAAATCAACAAAAGTTTTTATTGTTGGTTAATCCTATAATTTACTTAAGTAAAAGACCATCCTGACCCAGTGAAATTGACTGTTTGCCCTTCCACTAAATATCAAAAATTTCCCAAAAAAATATTCAAACACTGAATGTACCTATGAACTCTTAAAATCAAAGATGGTTTGATTTTGATGGTTTTGATTTTCTCAAATTTGCACTCTTTTTATAGTTGCCACTTGGGACTTTAAATTTCAACATATCCCTGGCTGAGAAAACCACTGTATAGGATATGGGATAATATTTATCACAAGTAAGATTGTGGGTGACGGTCCAAAGCCTAATAAGTTTTGCAGACAGTTAAAATTAAATGAACTTAACATATATGCTACCTAATTTTATATAGTATTAGGATAACATTGCTTCACTCTCAGGAACACTTTATTTATTTAAAAGATTTATATACTCATCTTGTAGCACAACTCAACATGCATTGCTAAACATGCATAAGTTGCATATATTATTGGTAGGAGAAGAGGCATTTTTTTTCCCACAGATTGATTTTCTAAGTCTATTAGAAAGCAGTTTGCACTGTTTCTGGTCACTAATTGTGCTTGCCTGCCTTAAGGTAGAAAAGTTCAGAAGATCTGGAAAGCGCTGGGTGACTTAGCACATTCATACAATCAATACCACAAAGGCCACTGATCTTGTTTTACCATTTGGTTACTCAGCATGATTGACATTTGTTACAAAGATTGTGTGATTTATGGCATATCAGTATTTGAAGTTAATCAGTTGTCTTTGTAAAGTGACTTACCAAACTACTGTCATGGCCATGAATAATGGCATCCCAAACAATATCTTCCACCGAGGACTTTTTCTCAGATGCTTCAATGAGCTGACTGACACTTCGATGCAGGGAATCTTGGGAAAACCTATCCTCTATCTGGCTTTGGCTTGGCCCCTGAAGGACAGAAATGCTTCTGCTGCTGTGTATACTTGAAGGGGATGCTGGTCCTGGAATTTTTGTATCTGCCAGTCCCTAGGAATAGAAGCAAACAAACCATTCTTTTTTTCAGCTTTTAGGTACCAAAATATTGCACTTTCCCCTAAGAACTCTTCCTTATTGTATACCATACTTAACTGATGACAGTATAGGTAGGCTATCTTCCAGCAGAGATTACAAACGCAATTATGTACATCAATTATCCCTTCAGCTATTGTTCGCCAAGGGAACAGCAGTTTTTTGCAATGTAGTTTCACAGGTTTATCTTTGGCATGCAAGACACACACATAACTGCCAATCCAGTTTAAGGAGGCCTTTTTGGCTTACAACACTGGCAAGTTTAGCTATCTGCTCACAGATTACCAATGAGGTATCATTCTTGTTATTAACAGCTAGGTCTCGGCTTTCTTAACTTGGACACACAGCAGTTTTACTGACTTGTCCAATCAAACATGCAGATACAGCAAGCATACAAACTCAAGTGGTAGAGGAGCAATGCCAATTTATCATGTAAACCCATAAGGAAGCAATTTTTGCTCAAAGAATGATGTATGAAACATTAAGTTAATCTTTTTTGAGTTGCAAACATTTCATTGCCATACTAGGTAACTCATCTGTACAGGACAACAGGAAAAATTTAGTTTGTTAGTTGGCAAGAGTTGTTCATACTGCTTTATATCAGTTACACACATGCTTGAATGGGAAAGAGATGGAGCAGAATATTCTATACTGTAGTCAAAATCCTAGCTCCAGGGGCATGCGAAATTAAGATTTTGACTATAGAATATTCTGTTCCATCTCTTTCCCATTCAAGCATGTGTGTAATTGACAAAATAGCTGAGTTGAGTTGAATATACTTCGTGTAGAATGTGAATTAATAAGCCTTAATAACTGTTGGCTGTGATTACTAGTTGCTCAACATTTACAAAAACCTTTTTTTCCAATTGCAGCATATGCTGCAGTTGAGAAAGTCCTTGATTTTATGAACAGTATTAGAAAAATTATCTTACCCTCTAAGAAAGAGCTCTGTTAGAGATTTTTATATACCGCCAGATGCTAGATTCTATTCTCGATTAAATATACCAAATATCTGATCAAGAATTAGGTATTCATCACTTTGCTGATGACTTTATGCTGGTTTTAGGTATGAGAGCATACTATGTTTAGTGAAACAGGTCCTGCTGTCTTGCTTGGTAGTTGCAATCTCATTACAACATAACAAGGATTGTAAAATCTTTTTATAATGCCACCAAGGTAGCTTTGCTAGGAGTGAACTGGGATGACACATTGATTATTCTGGACAAAACTCAGATGCATCTATCCATGTGTCTTCAAGTTGCTGCCCTCTAGATATGAACCTCTAACTCTCATGACTCTGGCTAACATCAAGTCCAACATACTTGGATGGCACTAGGCTGAGGAAGGCTTCATTGTTGGCACTATCAGTATACCAGTATCAATTTCTAGAACTTTTTAAATTCAACTTTATACTGTTTTGTACAACGTTTTACTTAATTAACAACTGTCTTGCTTAGCAATGGAAATTTGGGTCTCAATTGTGATCATAAGTCGAGGACTGCATGTACGTTTACCTTTTCTTAAATTAGAAAAGTACATGTCAAGACTCAGAAAAATAAATTAGGTTTTGGCTTTCATACCGAGTTAGGTTTGTTTGTATTATTGCTTTACCCAAACACATTCCTTAACCGCTTCTTGCCATTTGACCTTTATAATCATGAGATGGCAGGAGATTCTTTGGATAAAAAAGGTTGTGAATCAAACTGTTGCCAAATTATATGCTCTTCACCTCAACTGTGACAGACAGATGTTAAGTTGACGTTGCCTGGTTGCCCAATATAGTTTGATTTGTGCTTTAAGAGTTATATTATGAAGGCTGGCACATCTGCTTAATTTTCAATGGTCAAAGGTAAGCAGACTTGATTGCATTGCTCATTTATTACAGAACATAAAACCAAAGATTCTTCATTTGCTCAGCTGCTTCCTCCCCCCTGCGGCCAAAATTATACTGGAAATCATATCAACCTAATTTCAGGTCCAAAATGCCACACAGCAACAAATGAAGCCCCGACACAAGGTATTTTCATGCCAAAAATTCAAGATTGTCAATGTTTGCAAACTCGCTCCACCCAATAGAGTTGACTACCTCCAAGTGCATTGTGTAGCTTTTGAGTGTGACGCTACAGGAGGACTCCGATGTATCGGCCACCCTCTCAAACTGAGATTTAAAAGGGAAAAAAAGTGTTACTTTTTTAATCACTGGGGTGCTAAAACAAATTTTCTCTTATAGGTTAGCGCATCAACAAATGCTTATACTGAGTAATCCAGAAGGTCAGTGAGAAGGAGGCTCATAAAATTCCAATATCTTCACATAAAGTGATTCTGATCTGCAATGGCTTATTGCCCCATTATGCAGTCTCCCCCCCTCACCCACCCACCCTCAAAATAAGACGTAAAAGAAAGGAAAGCTGTTAGTAGTAAAGGCTTATGGTGACTGAAAGCCAATTTGTTGCTTCCACAGACAAATTTGCCTAGCATTTGTATGGGACTGCAGTGGCCGAGTGTTCCGAATTCAACACAGTAATTGAGTTAGATGTAAAAGCAGCACTGACAATTATCAGCACTATATGCTGTGTGACCTTGAAAAGGATAATAAAACTGAGCTACTCTTTCAATCTAATGGGGAGGGGGCACAGAGAGCGAGAGAAAGGGAGACTTCCTGGCAGTTAGAAACGTATCTTTCTCAAATGTTTATGCAGACATATGCATTGCAAAGGCTTACCTTATCGGAGCTCAGTGAAACTTGTGAAGATGAGATAACAGGGACTTGTAAAGAAGTAGCAATAGGAGGCTAGTGTTGCGAATTATCAGGGAAAGAGAGAAACATCATAGGTATAGGAAATAAAGGGGGGAAAGTGAAGGCAGGTAGAGAAAGTCTGACGTTAGAAGGCAGAACAAGAAGAGCACTTCAGATCTTCTAAAGCATAAGACAAAACAACCACCACCACCACACCAGAAAAGCTGAGGGGATGAGAAAGTGAAACACTTTTGAAATATAAATGTTCCCCAGTTGCTGACTGCCTTAGAGAAGAAATTAGATAGTGGATTATGCTGAAAGAATATAGCAATTTTTGACAAATACCAGTCGGTTGGCTTAGATGTACATCCACAAATGTCTACATCTAGCATATGTTGGTGTATAGTCATGGCCACATGGCCATGGAAATATGTTCAGAAATGCTAGTTCCCTTGGCTAAGAAATGAAGATGAGCCTTGCCCACTAGAGTTGGACACAGCAGGAAAGGGGAAAACTTTATATTTATCTTTATACATTAGAATGGCTAAGTTTTTTTGGGGGGGGATGTAGCTGGAAGGGAGCATCAGCAGACAGATACAATAGAAGTAGACACTTTGTACAAACACAATCCAAGAGAGTCTCTTCTGATATGGCCAACACTTACTGCTTACAAAAGGATAGCATCTGTACCCAGTTTAAAGTAGAGTTTTATCTTACTCCGTCAGTGACAAAAAGTATTTTGTTGCTGGTTTTTATAAAATTGGAGGAAGGACTGGGATTAAAACTCTAGGTGTTTGAGACAACCTTCTGATTCTGTCCTTCCCCTGTAATATACACCAGCAATAAATATCAGAGTTAGAGAAAATTCTGCTTCTTGCTTGGTTAAAGTTTGTTAGAGCCAGTCCAGCACAAAGAGTTTTAAAAACCAAAAAAATCCCAATGTGTTGAGTATAATTTTAGGGTTCTAAAATAATTATACTGGGGAATGGAAATGTTAAATTACAAATAACCTGCTCTCATTATTATTCTCCCAAAGGCCCATGGTTTTATCATCACCATCCAGAGTATCATCTAATTTCTTAAGGCTTGTAGATATTTTATTTCTAATGGTGGCTGTACTTTTAATTCAATTTGAATTGCCTTTTTAGTAACCTTGCCTGCTTTTTTATGAAAAAGAGAGATAAAATTATTCAAACTAATAAATAAAGCATCCAAGTTACTTCCTAAATTGTGTATTAATTTTCCTATCTCTTGAAGAGATCTTTGAAAATTGAGCCAGGGCTGTGTCCATAACATTGTCCCGTGGTTGCCAATAAATATTTATCGCCTGTTGAGCAAGTCAGAAAATACATTTTCTGCATGAGGTTGTAGAAGTGCTTCCACATGAGAGGGCACCTTGATTATCTTAATATTTCTGTTTATAATTCTTTTGCCTACAACCCTAATTTTACTCAATAGCCATCTTGGCTATCATCCTTGAAAACAGGAATAGAAGACCTGAGATATGGTAGGAAAAACAGGCCTATGTGTGTCTCTGTAAAAGGTAAAGGTTTGTTTGAATCTAGGGGACAGTGCTCATCTCTGTTTCTTAGCCAAGAGAGCCAGCATTGTCTGAAGACATTTCCATGGTCATGTGGCCAACATGACTATATGCCAAGGCACACGGAATGCTGTTACCTTCCCACTGAAGTAGTACCTATCTATCTACTCACATTTGCATACTTTCAAACTGCTAAGTGGGCAGGAGCTGGGCAAGAACGGGAGCTCACCCCATCATGCAGCACTCAGGTCTCAAACCTAAGCAGTCAGCTTTCCACCTGACAAAGTCAGTGTCTTTAATTGCTGAGCCGTTGTGCCCCCCCCATGCCTCTTTATATTGAACATCTTATAGCACTGTATGAAGATGTATTCTTTATGTATGACTTGTGACTTTTCACATACTTCCAAAACAAACTCTACAATGTTTGGGCCTCAAACTTAGAAATGCTTGAGGAGTAGTCTTAACTGTCTACTGGCAAGCCCTAGATGTTTAAATAAAAATGGTCAACTTGCTAAACTCCTTAAAATGCTTTTAATATAGGGACAAGCTGTGAAAATGAAACATTTACCTGTACATTGCATTTCCTCACCTCATGTTTTAAGGGAAACATATAATTAAGTTGTGCCTTCTGGTGCATTATGGCAAGAGAGAAGGCAACACAGACAATCTATTTTGGGCAGCGTAATGCTTTGAGCATGTGTTTAACCTGCTCAGCCGCTGGAATAAAGAGACTTAAAAAGTGTTAACTTGGACAGCCTTATTCTTTGGTAAATATAGCACATTTTTTTCTGCTTTGCTGTGGAAGTGATATGTGGAAAAGATTCCACAGTCACATTGGGGTTTAAGAGCCATTGCTATATTAGGAGCAGTAGTTTGCCCTTAGCTATTGTCTTTAAATGGCTATTTTTAATGTCTTTCAAATATTGGCTTGATTTATATGGTGTTTGTTTTCTATGGTGTCTATGGGCATATCCATGTTGTCTCACAAATGTCCAACTCTAGTACAAGGCACCTCTTCATAGGAAATCCATTTGCAAAACATAGGCGGAGCACCATACCATGTGAGTTTCTCCTTGTGAATAGACATTCATCGGTGACATTCTCTTTTGAACTGAGACTAAAGGAGGCCTTTCCCGTGAATACAGCTGCTTGTTTATTTTCCTCTGTAGAATTAGAGACAGGAAAATTGCTAGAAGGATCAAGGCAAGGATCGCCATTAGTATCACAAACCACAACTCTGTGTAGAACATTGCTTGCTTTGTGTTGCCTTTGTTATTTTCTCCTGGAGTTGTCAAGACAGGACCTATGGAATCCAGAAAAAGAATTGATGGCAAGCAAGAGATGGACATGGGGAAGAGAGAAAGAGGGAGAGAGAAACAGGAGGAAATTAACATGTTATTTCAGAAAGAAAACATGTGATTCAACTGTTCTCTGTTAGTTTTGTAATTTGGTGGTACTTCATCATACCCTTCTCATTTTCAAGGTGCTGCAGTGCTTAAATATGTGAGTGGTCAGTGATGCAAAGCAATTTTCACCTTGGAGAGTGTTTTTAGTTTTGGCATTGCTATTTTCAGTGGGAACCAGCCTCTACACTGGGAAGAAGAGGTAGACCGTGTGTGTTGAAATCAAAGCAGATGTATCACAATAATCTTGCACAGCTGAAATTGGGTGGTGAGTTTATGCTTTTAAGTTTAGGCATGTTGCAGAAAGCTTTCCTGTGCTCGTGCCAAAGAAATTAGAGTGACAATGCCCACTTATGGTTGTATTAAAAAAAAATAAGGATATTTGGGAATGAATAAGTGGGGCAAGATTTACAAAGGATTTCATTGTTCTTGTTTTTCAGCAAAGAATATGTATTTGCAAACGTATCTGGATAAATGTCAGACAGTTTGATCTTGCAAGCCTGAAGCAATAGCTTGTGAATTTTGAAGGAATATATCTACCCGTGAAATAATAGCATGGAAGCGTGCCAAGGCAGTAAACCAGCTAAGCCACTCATTCACCAAATGAATGAATAAATGAATGCTAATCTGGCTTTCCCCTTTTCATTAATTGTCTCCTCTATTGTTTTCAGCTTAAGGTAATGTCTTGGCTGTATGCACACTTCATTCTTGCAGACAAGACAGTAACGATGTTAACGCATAAACATTTTTGTATTATAAATAACAGCTACCTGGAAGCATAAACAGAGATGTATGAAAAAGAGTTTGACACCCTCTCACTCACTCTGTCATGGCCAAAACAAGCTATTTCTGCAAAGTTTGCTACTGTAGTTGCATTCAAATGGAAGTTTCCCTTCAAATGCAAATAGCAGACTTGGATTGGTGATTTTTGTCAAATTGAGGCATAACATTAAAAAATAAAATTATTTCTACAAAAAATAATGTGCCCATTTATTTGTACTGATCCAGTTAACATCATGTTAAGTTTGGTTTGTGTACAGCAAGTATTAAAACTGAAGAGAACTGTTAGTATAAGGGAACACAATTGAGGTATTTGTTCTTGATTCATATTTTTATGATCTTATACTGGATAAAAAAGAACTGTATGATAAAGAACCAAGGCACTAAAATATTTTGCATATTTTATAATGCATAGATGCAATTAAGAGAAGAAAACATTTATTCTATGGACTAGGTGCTTCATACTTCAAGCTAATAATCGTAGCACAACTTCCAGACACAATGATGAACATTTTTTTTAAGTAGTTACCAAATCCAATAGCAGCATTGTATTTGATTACAGGCGTTTCAACACTCCCTTCATCAGTGATGCAAGTCACCTGAAATAAATAAACTGAAAAGAAATGAAGAATTAAAAATATTGGCATTATATGCACCTTTTATATTATCATTTCATTTGCACATCTATATAGGAGCAATTCTATCCTTTTTGTCTTGGAAAGCATAACATGCATTGATATTCTCCCTCCATATTTGGAAAGTTTGCAAATGATAATTCTATCCTTTAATGGGATGCAAAAGTCCAGATAGCCACAAGATGGCAGCAAAGATTTTTTTCTGTTTCTTGTCTGCCACTGAGTGTTCGCCTGGATTTTTGTAACCCAGAACTGGAAGCAAGCTGGAAGTGATCCTAAAACCTATAGCCCTGAAGTATGCCACCAAATACCAATAAAATGTATTTATCTTTGCTGGATCATTTAAATGAATCCCCACATATAATGGGAAGAAGAAACAACCAGCAATCACTATTGCTTCTTCTGATTATTATTCCCATGCTACAGTTAGCAAAACCTGAGAACCACTGAAGCTCCTTGAGCTTTAACATTTTTTTCTACTTTAATCACTAACTTTAAAATCAATATAAGCATGGGAGATGCTTATCGTAATCTGTTCCAGACTGTCCTTTTATTACACTAGTATTCCATCAGATTGTTTTATTTTTTTCCCCATCAGTCTTCTTTCTTACGAAATGTAAAAGCTCAAAAGCTAGATGTACTGTGTTTTCACAAAAATAAGACTGGGTCTTATATTAATTTTTGCTTCAAAAGATGCATTAGCGCTTATTTTCCGGTTAGGTCTTATTTTGGGGAAGTATGGTACTAAATGCATCTGTCTGGCTGATGATCCTAACTGGGGCTTATTTTTGGGGTAGGGCTTATATTACAAGTATCCTGAAAAATCACGGTAGGGCTTATTTTCCAGTTGGGTCTTATTTTCAGGGAAACACGGTAGGTATCCAAAATATTAAAAACAATGGGTGGTAATGTTTGGCCAAAGGCTAAGTTAGTTTAGTTTAATTCTTGCATTGGCAACTTCAGGATGGAATTGTCAACTGTTGTCAGGAGGACTGCTCTTATGAATGACCTGGAAGCTACAAATAGCATGGAACGGATTAGGTAATGTACAGCATGGAGTTTCTTTTGATGAGTATATATCATCAAATTGGTATTCACTCTCAGTGAACATTCAGATTTCTTAAAGATGATCTGTCCCTAACCTGATCTTTCCAGTCTTTCAATGGTACATTTATTGTCACTGTTATTAAGTCCATTTAGCTTGCTGTTGATCATCCTCTCCTCCTTGTCCATCTCCCTTTCCTGGCATTTGGAGTGCCTTACCATGCATTTATTAGATTTATGATGCCCACTAAACTAGATTCAGTGTTTTAATGTTGGCAGACAAAACCCAAAACAATTACCTAAGCAAACATTTTCAATTATAGCAACCTCATCGATATATAAATGATCTTTAGAGATGGTCAGATCTTCCATGCTGTATTTCGTTGTTCCATGATGATGCAGAGATAAACCTTCTCTGTGGTAGCAGTTGTCCTACGGAATGAGCTCTTCTTAATGGTATATTAGTTCTATGTATTTAAGGCATCTCTTGAATCCTTACAGTGGCATTCCCTATCCATTAACTTCCTCTAAAATTCCATTTCCATTCTGACTGATGAATTGATAGCCAACCTTGTTTGTTCATCAGCTCAAGGTAGTGAACATAGTGCTTCTTTCTCCTACTTCTACTTTTCCTTACAATATTAACCCTGTGAGGTAGCTTGAGAAGTCACCCATATAGTGTGCTTCCATGTTTAAGGATGGACTAAAACCTGAGTCTCTCCACTCCTAGACCAACACTTTATGTTGGTCTCTTAAGATTTGGTTGGCAAATCTTCGCCTGCTATTCTGTGGCTGTGACTGTGAAACTGAAACAAAACAAGCAGGTACACCTCTCAATCAAAGGGCTCAGGAGCTAAGGATTAAGATATGGGGAAATATTTTTGGTAGCTGTTTTATTACAAAATTGATTGCAAAGCTGCCTTAATCATAATCTGATCAAGTTATGGAGGAGTAAGTAATTTAAATAAAGTTGTGCACATGCATTGCCCTAAAAAGCCCTAAAAAGCAAGATTAAAGCTGAATATTCAAGCTTACTTTTGTCAGATGTCCTTGGCAAATACAGTCTGGTATCAAAGCCACTGTAGATGTGTTGCCCTCCTTCCATTAGCACATATTCCTTCAAAAGCCCATTCAATAGGAAGGTATGACTCCAATCCAGGAAGATGGTGGATAAATTTCCGATTATGATAAATGGAGATTTGTACTGAGGAACTGGCAAAAAAAGAGAGAAGTATTAAGACAGTAAATATATTGATGTAAGCACTGGAGCCGTTTTATGACTCAGTTATGGAAAGGCAAAAGCTTTTGTGAAAAAAATTAACTTGTCTATATGGGAATGCTACAAATGAAGAACAGGACAGACTTACTGTAATAACTAGCACTTTAAATACTGCACTTCATATACTTGGACTTAGCAATTCTTACCTTTTTTTATTATCAGGAAGACAGCTCTTTCTTGCAATAAAACCTCAACCGAAATCATAAGCTTCCTTGTTTTCTGTGGAACTCTTTTATTAATTCTTAATAACTTTTAATTAATCAATAAACACCAACCAGACATTTACATTTTAGAGGGGACTTCAGCATTAATTATAAGAAAGAAGCTAGCCAAATCATTAGCTATTGTTCTATGGATGTTTACATCTATTATTGTTCAGCTAGTAGTTTCAAACAATGGATGATTATCAATTAAATAAAAATGTTTCCAATGAAATAAATAAAATTCATGGGTATTCCCATTCCAGACTGCTGTGTGTCTTTTTGGGAGATGACAGAGATAGAAAAAAAGGCTGAACAACAGTGTGAAAAAAAAATATTGCTGAGGCTGAGCAATGCTGTTAAAACTAGATCCCTCCCATAAAGACTATACTATAACATAACGAGTTTTAGTTGACTACTTGATCCCAGAAATTCTATCAACTTTTACTCTGTGTTGCTTTACCTTTGTCCCTATCCACTTCTACTTCATTTACCATCCTATAGTTTATCCCAGTGGCTCTCAATCACAAAGATATGTAGACTTCAATTCCCAGAATTCTGGGAATTACCAAGGATGAGAAACTCTGACCTATCTACTTTTACTCGATGGTTGCTGTTGTTTGTTCATTTTTTTGTGGGGGGAGAAACTCTTCAACTTCCCCACCTGCCTTTCCTACTCATCATCATTCCTGTGATCCCAGGAATGTAGCTTGTCTTCTTCTATTTCTTCCCTGCTTCATGAAGTCTGCAGGTGCTGTTTGGTGTTGAGTTTCATTCACATTTGGTGACTGTTCTTCAGAGGTATCATTCAGGACTTCCTCCTGTAAACTTTTCTGCTTTCCCTGTCTCTGACTTCTTTATTGTATTTCAGGGTTGCTGGACTCAGTTACAACACCGCAGACAATATTGTGTCTGTTGGTGTGACTGCACCTTCTAGCTGCTTTCAATGAGTTGGCCCTTGATTGTCAGTTGTTCTTATCTGGAACTGCTGTTGCTTCAGCTCCAGTGCATTCAGCTCTTTTGGGGCTGCTTCCCTTCCTTCCTACCTTCTTGTTCTGTCCTGTTTCTTCCTTTTTCCACCACTGAGACACTTCCTCTTCAGTCAAGCCCCCCCCCCCATTTTTAAAGAGCCAGCATTCCAAATAAGGCATAAGCAAAGGAAGGAGAGCAGTGTTATGTGTTATATGTCCTTTCTCTCACATTCCTCCTCAAATTACCCCTCAAATCATTAAAACTTCTTACTGAATTTTACGAGGTATTGGACATGTATTATAGTTGGTTAGAATTGAGGAATAAAAAAGTAAGAGAAGTAATGTAAATAATTGTTAATAAACGTAAGAGATATAGGACATAGTATTGTTAAGGAAAAAGGAAAATGTATTGTGTATTGTGTATTTTGTCTGTTTGAAAAATAAAAAATATAATAATAATTAAAGAATCATTAAAACTTCTAACAAACACTCTTGATAAGAGTGAACTAATTGAATCTGAAAAAGACTGAAGTTTGACTACAGTTGCAGTAACTGGGTCTATAACATAAATGTGACAGGAAAGTAAAATAGTAATAAATACATCATTTTTCATAATAAATATTTTAAAAACTTCATGAGAGTGAGGACCTTTCTGCTTTCATCAAGCTTTTATACCTCTTAGGAAGTACATTTTGCTGCATTTTTAGAATGTAGAATGCTTTCCTCTCAAAGCCTTTAGTTCAAAGGTACTATTACAACATGATACATTGTACCAATCACTTAATCAATCGTCTAATTCATCATTACATAAGCAAAAGGCTAATATTTAGGATGCAAAAGGAAAATAAGAAATCTCCCCTGAGTTTGTGCTAAGCAAAGAAGAAAAAGGATCAAGAAGTGACCCTGTTTTTTTTAATATGTTCAGATTCCACCAAAGAAAGTGAAAAAATAGACCATCTGAGCACCTAGCAACAAAAATTCTAATTATTATTGGAAGAGACTTTTATTGGATGAAGTTTAAAACTGAATAAAATTATAGGAGATTGGCTAAAAAAGAAACTTGGTTGGGTAATATAATCCTATTTCAACTGCTTTTGTTTAAGTTTATTTCTAACATTTGGAAAATATGCTTCAATAACAGTAAAATCCTCTGATTTCACAACCCTTTAACATACCACAAAAGCTGCACAGTCTTGAAACTATGTAAACAGCTAAAGGGTTTGACAAATTTGCTTAATTTTTCATTTTCACATTTATACTCACTTCTGATTTTTGCAAGGAACAAGAAAATCTGTTTACTATAAACTGCAGAAATAATAAGAGTAAATTATAAAAAACTTATAAATTGGCCATTTTCAGTCATCTGTTTTAAAAAGCTACCAAGTAGGCAGAAATTAATGGTATTTTTGAAAACCCAGTTAACAAAAATCCTATTAAAAGAAAAACAAATTAAGGTTTTTGCTTGCTATATAAGGTATCAGTTACATAGCCTCTTTTACCATACTAAGAATAACAATTCAGTCCTCAATGGTTATGATTGGAAACAAAGCATTCCTAAAAGTGATGGAAATCAAATCCAGATCCTTATTTTTATCTGTAGAAACTCACCCTCTTTTTCAGTAGTAAAAGTAATCCATTCTGAAGTAGTGCTTCCAACTGAATTGTAGGACACCACTTTCAGTTTGTAGGTTGTGTAAGGCTGAAGGTCACTCACACTAGAATGCCGGTTTTTCCCACTATATCTCACTTCAATAGGTCCAGGCTTACAAACTCTTTCTATGGGCAGTAACCAAGGAAGACAGGATGTGTACATGTGGAGTTCATATCTATAAGAAAAGAAATCAATAATAAACACATCACTTGTGTTTGCATATTGCTTTCAACTGTAATATGGCTTGTTTCTGGCTTAGTTGATGAGCAATCCATTCACATTATGATGAATGTATATGTGAACCAAGATAATTTAGCTTACTTAGCAAATCATAGCTAAGCAAACCGTAAATTATCACAATATGTGAAGTCAATCCTTTCTGGCAAATGTGAGTTTATCCTTCCCAATATCAAATGCTGATAAAACGAAAAGGTTGACATCCAGCTTAATTGCTTTAGAGTTCTATATATCCCATTCATTCTACTTATGTGCCTGTGCATGACTTTATAGGAAAATGGTACGCCATTATTTCAGTGAGGCAGTGGAGTAATATTTTCAATAATTAGGGATGAATAAGGATAATTCCCATTGCCTAGACTTCACAGTTGTATTTTCAGAATCAGTATCAAATTCTAATTCATATTATGTTTCAAAAGTCTATATAAATACATGTTAGACACTTAAATTCTACTAAATAGGAAAATAGGAGGAAGAAGAGTATAAGGTATGCTCAACACCTTGAGTTATTTATGAAACAATGAAGATAGGATTAATAAACCTCTGATGTATCAATTTTTGTAGTTCTATAAAGATTATTACATATATTATCAGATTCATTTTGTACATCAGAACTATTTTATGAATAAGTAAAGTGCAGAAAAGGAAGGGGGTTATACACAAATACACATCTCCCTTGGTAAAGGAAAAGAAGGAAAGGCACAGAAAAAAATGAGAGAAGTGAGAGACAGGATAGTGAGCATTACTAAAGCAATAAGTAGGTATGAATTCCCACCCATAGCGGATTATATCTGAGCAGTTACCTTCTCACAATGCCATTGGGTTCCTGAGGAGCATCCCAGAGAAAAGAAGCATTTCTTGACGTCAGGTTCTGTATATGGGGAGAAGGCTGCTGGGTGGGTGCAGCTGGCTGGGTGGTGACTTGAGCCATTGGCCCCTGGCTGCAGCAGTTGAAGCATGTGCAAGCTTCAACCCCAATAGAATAAGTGGTAAAAGGTTTAAGTCCATGGATTGTCTGCTGAGCAGTAGTGCCTTCTGAGAGCTGAAAACAGAACAAAAGCAGAAGTAGACACTGACATGCAAGTAGTCCATGTACTGCACAAGGCTCAGCTGGATAAACTATATATTTGTTCATTGGATTTTTATCCTGCCTTCATTTTTTTTACAAGTCAAGAAGGTGTATTTCAGGCTCCCTCTTCCTATTTTCCCAACAACATCTATAACAATCTTATGACGTAGGCTGGGCTGAGAGACTGGCTCAAAGTCACTCAGCCAGCTTTCATGCCAAGCAGAAGATTAAAACTCATAGTCTCCTTAGTTCTAGTCCATCACCTTAACCACAAGACTCTGCTGGCTCTCTGACCTAATCCTAGATAGGTTTAGACCAAGAAAAGGCATATAGCTTCCTAAGAAGAAGCAGTGACTAAACCAGACCTTGAATAGTAATACCCAAACTGATAGACATGGTTGGCAAGTTGGTACTTCCACTTTTTTTCATCCCCAAAACTGCCTATATTTTGACAATTCCTATAATCCTTCTTTCCTCACCAATGCCCTTTTTTGAGGGAAAGGTTGATTTAATTTATTTTTTAATTTCATATCAGTAATAGTTAAAATCTAGTCTGAGATATGCTATACCCGTCGTGGCGAACCTATGGCACGGGTGCCACAGGTGGCACGCAGAGCCCTCTATGTGGGCACGCGTGCCGTCACTCCAGTCCTAGGCTTTCAGCTGGGTTTTATAAAACCTTTTCGCTTTAGTCCCACCCAGTCTGCTGTTACCACCGCAGCCACACCCATCCAATGGGCCACATCCACCCAGCACCCGACAATACATAAATGGGTTTTGGGTTTCACTTTGGGCACTCGGTCTCTAAAGGTTCGCCATCACTGTGCTATACCATTATTCTATGCAATCAAGAGGAATATTGAGGACAATTCAATAATAATAATAATAATAGTAATAGTAGTAACCACAAATTTCATCAACGCAAAGAGTTTGATTCATACTTACCACCTTCTCCTTTCCTTTGGTGCCATTGGAGAAGAACCTGTAGAGGGTGATTATTCCATTTGGCTTTAGAGGAGGACGGCTATTGACCACAGCAGAAGTAGAAGCTACTGTCTCAAACAAAGGGGCAGGAAGCCCTTGAGGAGGGGCTGGGCCAGTCTTACATTTTATCCAACTGCTGGCAGTTCGGCCAGCAGAATTAACTGACCAAACCTGAAAAACAAGAGTTTATAACAGGCCTAAAACATCCTTCCGGGGGAAAAAAAATCCATATCATTTCTGCTTTTCTTTATTTAACTACACTGCCCAGAGCCAATCTATGCTACCCAGAGCCCCTCAATGAGGGAGATGAGCAATTAAGAAGTTTGATATATAAATAAAAAATAACAGAGAATGCTAAATCGCCTTCAGAACAAATTGAATTTGGCAAACATTTTTGTAGTCTGCATCTGTATTTATTTGACTATTTATTTATTGTCTTTTCCAGGTGCCGGAACTCACACATGTCATACAACCCGCCTTGCCTACCTTACAAGGTTCCATCCCAAAAAGGTGCCGGAACTCCGTTCTGGGCGTTCTGTGACAAAAAAAAAGCCCTGGTCTTTTCATCTCTGGTGAGCTCTCAAGGTGACTAGATTGAGACCATTATCTTGCCTTGAAATGTAATTTCAGGTGGCATCTGTGGCCAAGACAGTTTTTCCCCAGGTCCATCTGGTCCACCAGTTGCCTCTCTTCCTGGCTCAGGAGGCCCTTCTGATAGTCCTTTATTTCCTAGTCACCCCATGGCTCAACAACTGCAACACACTCAATATGGGGATGCCCTTGAAAACAACTCAGAAGCTTCAGTTGGTCTGGGATGCAGTGGTGCAGGCAGTGATGGCTAAGCCTCAGTCTGCCCATGTAACAATTCTGCTCTGTGAGCTGCACTGGTTGATAGTTTGCTTCTGGGTGCAATTCAAGGTGCTGTTATCAACTATAAAACCAAATATAGAAAAAGGTTGTTTGAAGCTACTTACATGCTATGGGTATAGTAAATTTAGATTTTAGTAAGGCATTTGATAAAGTAGACCGCAGCCTACTTCTTGATAAGATAGACGATATTGTCTATCCCACATTGTTTTATCAGATGGATTTGCTAATCAAATGCACTCAGCATGTGGTTCTTAATAAAACTACATCTACATGGAGGAAAATATGTTGTGTGGTTCCTCAAGGATTTGTCTTGGACACAGTGCCCTTCAACATCTTCATAAGTCATTTAAATGAGGAGATTGAAGGGGTGCTCAGCAAATTTAAGGATGATACATAACTGGAGGGAATTGCTAGCACTTTGGAAGGTAAACTTAAGATTCAGAAGAATCTTGACAGACTTGTTCAGTTGTAAGAAAAGTAAGGTCCTGCACTTAGGCAGGAAAAACCAAATGCATAGGTACAAAATAGGTGGTAGCTGCCTCAACAGTAGTAACTGTGAGACAGATCTAGATGGCCTAGTGGACTACCACTTAAGTATGAGTCAGCAGTGTGCCACAGCTGCCAGCTAAGCCAATGCAATTCTGGGCAGCATCAACAAAGGGATAGTATCAAGATCAAGGAAGTGATAATACCACTCTATATCACTCTGGTGGCACCATGTTTGGAATAGTGCATCTAGTTCTGGTCACCATAGTAGAAAAAAGATGCTGAAGCCCTAGGATAGCATGGAAGCACAACAAAGATAAAAAGAGTTCTGGAGACTAAATATATGAAGAACAGCTAAAGAAACTGGGTATGTTTAGCTTAACAAAGAGAAGACTGAGGAGACATGATAGCAGTCATCCAATACTTGAAGGGCTGCCACAAGGGATCTGAACCTCTCGTTTAAAATTATTATTATATTTAAATATTAATAGCACTGATAAATGTGATTTTATGTTTTCACTGTAAACCAGTGATTTGGTAGCCAATGGACTAGGAAATTAAAAAACAAAACAAAACAAAAGTAAGTTTATTTAAGGACTGTACAGTTTTAAAAGATCATCATACATGTCAACATTTCATTACGTTCACATGAACAACTTTCAGGATTGACTTTCCATCTGAGTAAATGCTACCACAGTATGCCTGATATTACCATAGAGTTGGAGGATTGAAAGGACTTTGGAGGTTTTTTACTCCCGCTTCTGCTCAGTGCAGGAATTCTTGTACTATTCTGGACAAATGGCTGTTCAGTCTTTTCTTGAAATCTTCTATTTTTGGAGCATTCACAGAAGCCTAAGAAGACAGGCTGTGAGAGACTGAACAGCTCTCACAGTCATCTCGTCCAGCAATCTCTCATGTTCATTCAATGTTCATTCAATTTACTTCTGAATTATTTAATGTTACACTCAGTAGCATGGAAAGGTTATAACATAGAAGTGCAGTAAACCTTCTAGCATTCTTGATCATTGGCATGAGGTCAATCAGCTCAAGTCACAAACTTCCTTTAGTAGCACAACATACTTAGTCCAGAATGCCTGCAGTAGCAAAAAATCTATGGAGATCATAAGAGAGCTGGAGCTGAGTTGTATGTGAAATGTTAAGGACACAGTGCACCCATGGATCAAAGTTACCCGTGTTATTAACATTTAAATATAAATAATCTGTGTTAAAAGCTTTGTGAATATTTGTGTGTAGCAAATCGATATATCCAGCCTACTCTTAGTGTTCTGTTTATTCATATTCAGCTGATTATACTGAACATGTAATATGTTGATAATATTGCTAAACTGATAATAAAGCAACAAATATATTGCCTAAAATACAATCTTTATGAGGGTTTTGCAAATATTTTATGCACATGGGAAGGGGGCTTCAGTTCTAGAATTCCAAGATGTAATAGCCAAGAAAGTATCTAGTTTAAAGCTCTTCTTTGGACATGGCTTTGTTTTTGTCAGCTTCACAAAGCCAGGGTGATCTGCACACTATATGAAACTCAGCAGTTATTAAACAAGACCTGCAACAAATCTGCATGAAAATTAAATTTTACTTTCATCAAGGAGAGAATAAACATATGGGAGGATGTTTAATCTTATTTATCAAAGACCATTTGTATAATTAAACACGAATATCATAAAAGGTTGACTGAGGTCACGATTTGCATGAGTAAGTAATTTGTAGAATGTCAGGTGCACTAGATGGAATAGATGGATGTGTGAATATATAGGGTTAAATTAGACTCAATAATAGTGAACCACACAGTGATCAATCAGAATGATAGATCTAAATGGCAATACAAGGGGACTGTCTGTGTGATTTTTTAGTATTAAGTATTCCTTAGTAAGCTTTCATGTCGGGCAGTTCTAACTGTACTAAAACTTGCTCTTATGCTATCTCCTAATTTTCTGCTGTAAGATTTGAATTTATTTCAAACCTTGCAAAGGAAGCCAAAGGTCCTAAATACTTTCATAAATTAAGAGTTTTAACTACATAATGGACCTTGTTACTGTGGATCTAGCTTCAACTGCAACCGAGAAACCACTAGTACATCATTGGTGCTAGAAGATTCAAGAAAAGAAACCAATTTTAGTGGCCTCAGCTATGCAACTAATGTCTGAAAGCTATTTGAAAAGTATTCTGTTGAAGTCATAAGACTATTCAATTGCAAGATGGCCATCTAATTATTATTTTTTTATTTCAGGGATCATACTGTTTCTTTGGAATTGTTGACTCTTAAGTAAATTGTGTGACTCATACAGTATGCTTGTACAGAGTGAAAGTAAAGAATACAAAAAAATAATAATTATATATGTTGGAAGGAGGAGGAGGAAGAGGAGGAGGAGGAATAATAATTGCAAAAGACAGCTTTCCTTGGAACAGTTTACATTCTAAGATGATATCTTTAACTCCACAAATCAAACATCTGTCTATCCCAGATCCTTGAGAAGGACTTGATAGGTGGATAAAAATGCCAAATCCAGTCTCAACATCTGGCTGGCTGGTTGTATGATGAACCATAGTAATAATAGGAGTCCCAGTGAGGCACTACTTTGACATAGTAATAGGTGTCTTAGGTGCAACCCCAAAACAGCTGGACCATCATTTGAACACCATCAGCACTGATAAAATCACTGTCACTGTAAAAGGCAGCTCCAGGTCATAAGAACATATACATGTAATATTAGCAAGTTAAAAGTTACTAAAAATGAAACCTTTTCATACAATTTCCAGGCTCAGAAACAAAAGTGTAATATTCAGCTATAACATTAGTATCATACATATTCAATTATTAATATAAATTCATAGGAATCAAATCATTCATTTTTCTAAACAATAGCATCAACTAAAACATTTATGGATGAAGGGGACATGGTAAAAATCTTCACTGTCTCCAAATTATTGTAGATTATCTTCGTGTGGCTAATGTCCTTCTATTTAATCAAGATTGCCTTGTAATTAAAACCTTCAGTGTTTCAGTATCCAATCCTGCTAAGTTTTTTGGATGAGAAATAGGCAACTTTTATCTGTCAGACAATAAAACCTGGCGACTGAACTCTGGACATAAATGCCATACTAAGACAAAACATCTTAAAAAAAAAGTTTCCACAATTGGTTGATTTTGTGACAGAGGGATTAAAAACACATTTTTTAAATATATATATATATATAAAAGGTAAATCAAAGCTTCAGACAACTTTGGTTCCTTTTAAATATTTTATTGCATCCATAACTAACATGGATGTTTACCTTCAAAAGACAGACAATTTAATAATTTGTTCCTATTGGTACATAATGAGATAGTTAAAACACTCCCAGGAGAGAGATAAGCAGATATTAAAAGGTCTTTCCAATACCTGCACTGACTAAGGGCAACAGTTAATTCAATAGATTCGATCAAAATCACTACTTCTTTCAGGCCTGCTGATTTATTACTTTGGCTGTAGTTAGTCATCACTCATTTTAGTTTGCTTTTCAGAGCTCATAAATTATGCGGTATAAATAAAAAGATACAATCAAGGAAACCGTATCAATTCACATAACACCCAGGGGATGTATACGCTCCCACGACACTCACAATAATGTCTTTTTAAAAGACAGGCCAATCACAGTGTTCGAGTACATCGGAAACCAACAACCCAAGAGGTCTTGCCCTAATGAAGAATTAGCAGGTTCGTAACTATTGTATCTGTATGTATGAATTTATCATAATTAATCAGGGGCTTTTTAGTTACCTGAGCAATTGTGCAAAGATTAATCACCAACTTCACTCACTGAAAAGGGATAAAGAGATTTGTTTTCTCCCACCTCTGTTCTTGTTTCTCTCTGATGTTTCATAGAGACCAGCCCTCACTAAGCTGCACCAATTGGAAATCAGCTTGTCTAAAGTCCAATCAGCAGTCAGCAAACAGCAAATACCGTAGCTATAAATATAGGAGCCCAATCAGTCCCTGCTCGGTTGCCTGTGGTCTACATAGATCATCTTGCTTCTGAAGATACCAACAATCGTTGCCAGCAAAACATAAAAAACCTGTTGTTTTAGACCACTGTCATTAAACCCTGAAGGCAAACACTGCCCCTGATGCTTCATATATCTGAATAAATAATGATAGTTTCATTTATTTCTTGAATTAAAATCCAATATAAAAACAGTTCTGCAGAATACCCCCCCCCAAAAAAATGCTCCATAAATCGGATGCCACCAGTGAAAAGGCCCTGCTTTGGTAGACAGAAACCACAGCTCTGATGATTAGTATCTCAACTGAAACATTTTTAAATCAAAGCATGTTGTGGGTCTCTAGATTGCAATTATTGATTGGAATTCTTTGCACTTCTTTGGAAGGTATTCCAGCTGGCCTTTGAATTTTAGGAGTCAAATTAAATTCTGGAAAAACCTGTGAGTTATTACAAATGCATAAACAATGTGTAGTTGATAAACCTTTGTATCTTCCCCCCAAATAGGCTATTGGCATTGTTTGAAAACAAAGTTCTGTGAACGTTTGTCTCAGAGAATGGGATGTAAGACACTATAAATAATATGACATTCCTTGTCCATCTTTTAAAAATTGATACTTAAGCTTACATACCTATACCTTTGAGCAAAGAAAGAACAAATGGTTCTCATTTATTTCATGGCCATTGTTCTTGTTGATACTATCTGAGTTTTCCTTGATAAAATTTCAGCAAACCTATTATCCAAATACTTAAATGATCTCACTTGTTCTATCTCCTTATCATCTAATGCCCATCTATGTCTCTTTGGTCTTTTAATAAATATTGCCACCTTAGTTTTTGAATCATTTATCTGTAAATATGCTTTCCTAAAGTAAGTGCCAAACTCTGTCAGGATTCTTCTCATTCCAATTAATGTTGTTGACATGACCACCATGTTGTCTGGTACTTTGTCCATCTCTCCTTTCTAACTGGAGATTTCAGAACTGAACCTGGGGTCCTTGGTGTGAAAAGAATTGTTCCATCTTAAGATCTTTCTCATGCTGCCTTAGATTAAAGAGTTTGTTAAAGCTTCAGAAATAAAACGAAGAAAAGATATTATCATTTAGTTATATTGTTAACGTCAGAACCATCAAGCTGGACTCTGAAGATTGACAGTATTTTTTAAAGGCCTTCTTTCCATTTCAGGAAATTTAGTTGCATTTAAAACTTTATGGCCAACAACCACGGCTCTGAGAGAGATGCAGAAGAATCAATATGATGCTTAATGAAAAATAAATCTGGGTTTCATCAGCATAATAGTGAAAGTCAGTTCCTACACTTATGAATTAGATGTCTTACAAGCAATATATATTCAAAATTTTGTGGCTGACAAAGAGTTAAATGGCCACACAATTTTGAATTTACAGTGTTCACAGTAATGACGTCTGCCTGCAAAAGATGCTCCTAGACTGGGGTGAAACGCAGAACAGATTGCTTTACATTTGGTAGGCCAGGTGTTCCACCCAACACATAGTTATATATATATATTAAGAAGAATATAGACATGCTTTTTTCTTTCACCTAGACACCTTCTCCATTTCAGAATAAAACTGATAACTGGTAGCATATATAGCTTAGTGCATCAGTGACTAATTTCAAAGTAGCTGTTAATAAAGATTTGATAAATAAAACAACAAGCAAAACAAAAATAAGTGAGCAATGGCTTGCAACTTATTTGAATACTTATTCAGCGTGTTAATGGTTTCAGCTGAAATCTAACTTTGTGGATGCCATTCGATGCTATCAAACTGCATATTTATGCATAACATGTGAAAGTGCATTTTCACAACCCTCCCCCATTACTGGCAAGCTCAGAATGTTTGATAGTTTCAATTGGGTCATTTTAGTAAAATCTAAATTTGAGTGCAATCTCTGAAAAGATTGGGTTTAATTGCAGTAAGAATGTTCAAATAATTCAGAAGTAAAGTAGATAGTTGCACTTTTGCTTAAACCTAAATTTAAGAAATTTAAATCTCTTCTAAATATGGTCTTACTTTATTGTTCAATATAACATTCGGGAGCAGCATTGTGCAAAATGATAGGTTGTCCTCGATACAGTATGTTACAGCCCACGTAAATGCTTTTAAAAGGATGCGTGCTAGAAGAAATATCAAGATTCCTATCATTTGAATAATTAAAACCAGAAGGCTGAATATATACTAATAACATTTTCCAAAGGAAACTCATCATTTCCTTAAAAGGTCAGAGATTGTCACAATTATTAGCCAAACTGTCAGAGATTAGGAAAAATAGGGCCAATTGGAAAATATGTAAATATTATTTAGTTAGATTCCTTCAGCCAGCTTACGGTTTGCCAAGATTTCATAAAACTTCTGGTTTGTCTGCCTGTATCTGTTTGCCAAAACGGCATAAAACCTCTTATTTTAAGTGTATTCTCTCTCTCTCTCTCTCTCTCTCTCTCTCTCTCTCTCTCTCTCTCTCTCTCTCTCTCTCTCTGTGTGTGTGTGTGTGTGTGTGTGCGTGTGTGTGTGTGTGTGTGTGACACACAGAGATTCCAACCTCTAATGTGACAGGATGAATTCCAGAAAGCATTCTAGCAGTTCTCTCATTGTTAACTCATTGAAGCTCAAAGAAAATGGCATCATTAGAAGTAGGAAATCAAATAATTGAAGAGCCATCATCTGTGATGAAACACAGGCTTTCCCGTGATGTCAAACATTCCTCTGAAACTTGCCATGTGCAACGATCTATATCCCAGGTGCACCTATGCAGAATTACAAGAAGCATTCCAAAATTTTCAGTGACAAAATTTGTCCAAGTTCCCAAGATCCTGATCTGTCCAGTTCAAAAGATGCTAGGAATAATTACTGGAATTAAGGAACCATTGTTGCCTCTTGATTGTCACAAGTACAGTATAATAGACCACTGGATATACTATATCACTCAGATAATATGCTAACTGAAATACTCCTTATGGGGACTAAGTCAGCCAACAAGACAAGAGAGAGAAATAGATATACACAAACCAACTCCTACTCCTCCTCTTCACACACACACACACACACACACACACACACACACACACACACACACACACACACACCAATTTGTATATTTCTAGACCTTATGTGGGAAAGAGTTACATCTGCATCCGAACTGGAGTAGAAGGCACTCATATCCTTTCAGCATCATGCCCCTGGCAATCTGTCAAGTTTGCTATATCACAAAACAAGTTCATGTATAAAGAGGAATTGCTATGCCATCTTGAAGCACTGTGATCACTGACAATTCTTAGAGGGAATAATACCATTGCTAAGATACTGTATATTAACCATTTGATAAAGAGAATTTCTCAGTGAGATGCCCAGAAATTTTCACTGTAATCTCCCATTTTCGTACCTGATATTCATATTCAGTGAAAGGCAGGAGCGTGTCGTCTTTGAATGAAGTGGATGAACCATTATAAACAAGGCTGACATTGTGTTGATTGGGTAATGGCTGTCTTCGATAAAGTTCATAATGTAAGATGTCTCCATTTGGGTGCTTTGGGCCAGTCCACACAATGGAAAGAACAGTCTGGAATCCATCAGGACTTGACTGGACATCTATGAAAGGAGCTGGCTGTATTTCAGGGGGTGCTTCAAGAGTTTGTATGGATGCCCATTCACTGTGAGTACAGCCCAGAAGACTGCAAGCTTGTACTTGTACTTCATACCTTTACAAACACAAATCAGAAATGAGCTAGTAGAATCTAGGCTTTGCACAACATATAAAGGTAACACAAAGTACAGATGTTCTACAAGACAAAGTTTGCAGACATTCAAACAAAGAAGAAATGCATTCCTTCAAAATCACTGGATTGTAATTTAAGGTCTTTTGGCGAGTAAGAATCTAATCATATGAATTGAAAATCTGGGCAGAAAAGAACACAACACTAAATTTGTTAGAAATATAAAATCTGATTGGCAAAGGCTAGCTATAAAAGGAAAAAAAACTGATTGACTAAGTAAATTTAATCAACAATCCTTACAATGGACAAACTAATATGCATGCACCTCCCAGTTTTTTCATGAATGCAGTGAGCTAATATGCCTTGGGAAATTTATTTATGTTCTAAAGTACAAGAATTCCCTCCTCATTTACTCATTACAGCATATGCTTACAACATACCTGTGATAGGGTTTTAGTTCTGTTAAATTGTAAGACTGTCTTCCAAAAGAATCATGGAATGAATCCAGATAAATCACTTTCTTTTGTGATTTAATAGGCTCCCGAAGAATGATAGTATAATTGATTATGTTACCATTAATCTTTGCTGGAGGATCCCAAGTAACCAAAATTGTCTGCAAGGACCATGGATGCAACAGAGGTGGAGACATTCCAGATGGGGCAGAAGGATCGGTTCTTATCTTGGCTATCTGACTGGTGACACTCCCTTGGCTGTTGGTTGCAGTAACAGTATAGATGTATTCCACTCCAGGAGTTAACATAAAGTCCTTATAGTGTCTATCTAGACCTGAATAAACCAGCAATCCATTCCTCCTTAGCTCATAAATCTGGATTTTACCATTTGGATTATTGGGAGCTTTCCATGTAATTTCTAGAGATTCTGAATCTGTCACTAGTAACATGGGAGGATCTAAGTTAAGAGGAGGAGCTTCTATTGTCCAAGCAGATTGGGATGCACTAACAGTGCAGCCTCCGTTGGTACAGGCAACCAATGTGATGTCATATTTAGTATAAGGTTGTAGATTCAATACTGTCTTGAATAAACTCTTTCCAACATATTGTTCTTCATCATTCAGCTTTAAAATGTACTTTATGATTTCACCATTTTGAATTTGGGGTGGTGCCCAAGATATATTAATCTGGGTTGAATGTATACCTTCTAGAGTAGGAGGGCTGACTATTGCTGGAGCTGCCTCTAATGTCCGTATTCTGGAACGGTCACTAGAGCAGCACCCTCCCAGGGTACAAGCAGTTATTAAATAATTGTATTCTGTATATGGAAGCAGGCCTTGATCAGTATAATTGAAGGTTGAAGCATCAAAGCTAAAAGGATAGGGAACATCATTTCTTTGGAGCTTATATGACAGTAGAACACCATTGCTTTTTTCTGGGAGTGACCATGAAATCCATATTTTGCTGGGATTTTGAGGGATATAAGTGAACATAGGAGCAGCCATGCCTTCTGGGGCAGCTTGGCTGGTTTTTGCAGCAGACCAAGGACTATCAGTGTAGCCTGCTGAATTCCAGGCACGTATTTTATATTCGTATGTAGTCCACGGCTGCAAATGCTGAGCATGATATACAAATGCGTTACTCCCAGTGTTATATTCTGTGAAAACAATGTTCTCTTCTTCTGTCGTTCTATTTTCCCCTGAAGCATTTTCTTTGGTGTGTCTGTGAATAACTTCATAGCGCATTATTTTTCCATTTGAATTAATTGGCTCAGACCAGCTCAGTTCAATGCTGGTTGCATTCACCAAATGGATTACAGGAGCCATTTGAGAAGCAGGAGGGGCTGCATCTGTCCAAATTTGCTGCGGTGAAGAGCGAGTGCAACCAGCTGCTGTACAAGCTTCAAGAACGAGAGTGTATTCAGTGAAGGGATCAAGACGTCTGAAGAGGAACTGACGAGACAAACCACTATATTCTAGATTACCATCATTGAAAATATTGTAAATCTGAAAGGAAAGACAATGTCAAAACATTACCAGCAAGACCATTAGTGGCCACATCAGGCAACTTTTTAAACCTAATACAATCCACCAAATAGGTTCAATAACTTTTCACAGGCTCCATTGGTAGCCCATCCCTGCTGCTCTTTGGATATTGTAAAAACAGGGGGTTTATTAAAGATCCAGCAGGCATAATAAAAAGCATGAACCCCTCTTTTCTTTGGGGAAAAAGTTTTACTCTGTAAGGCTAACACATTTTATTATGATAAAAAAGAGGACATTGTTAAAGTACACTTTAAAAAAAAACTTATTGAAAATATGTGATTGCTTTTAGCACCTTATCTTACAGATTTTTCACAGTCTTTTACAATGGTCATGTAAAACTTTAACCCCAGCCCCTTTCTTGATTTAAAAATCAAGACTAGATTTAAAAATCTAT